TTAAGCTTCAAGAATTGGGAACCGAGACTAATCAAAATACTCAAATAATCATGGTTACAATAAATGAAAATGGATCGGATACAATACGTACCATATACCCTTTTAATCATCTTTATGATATATTTTTCAAAGTTCATATGGGCATTTTAAACCATGTTGGAGCGTCCAAAACGTGGAATGTTGTAAGAATTAGTTTTGATTTTATCAAATATATATTTAAATTAATTTTTAATTGTATAATAAATACTAATACATACTTTTTTTTTAGATTAAGACTATATTCCTCATAACTTATCTATATTATACGTATATAGTAACAGGCTTATTTTGTTAATAATGTTGTATAATAAAAATTTGCTTCGCTTGTTTGTTTTATATATTCAATTTCCACTTAAGTCATTTTGAGATTCCAAATCCACTTAAGTGGATTCGGAATCAACTTAAGTTGATTCCGAATCCACAAATATCCCGTAACCACCTACAACATATCTATGGTATTGAATTTCATAGGTGCTATTTCTTAAAAACGCACTGAGTAATTAGGGTTAGTGATTTAAGTATAAATGTTTAGAATTCCTGAAAACCTTAGATTTAACAAAATTTGGACCTTTTATATGAAAATTTCAATATGTTATATAAACCATTATTTCATTTTAAAAATGCACTCTAATCTTAAAGTTTATTAAAATGATTATATATGAGGCTAATACCATAGATGCATTTTATAATTGTTTATACCATATTTAAACCAGTTTTTTTTTTTTTATGAAATTTTGGTGTTTTTTGCAACGTATTAAATACAGTTTTTTAGAAAGTTTTTGATGAATTTACATTTTTAAATGATACTTTAATTTTAGTAATTTTACAATAATATTTTTAATGTATAAAATTAAATTTATTAAATTTATAATAAATATTTGTGTTATGTTGTAAAAAGCTACTGGTTTACGCACGAAACTATATGAAACAATATACATAAAATATGTAAATATATACACGTTTCCTGCACGTAGGTACTGTATATGTAGGAAAAAGCACAGGAAAACACGTAAAAGTATGTGCACTGTTGCACGGAATCCGCAACTTTTTACGTGCTGTGAATGTGCTTTCCCTACTATCACTATTGTCCCATATATATTTACGTACCGTTTAGTGCTAAAAATTTTAGTGCATTGCCGTACTACACTATGCTGCAATTTCTTATAGGGCGCCTAGAAAGTACTCACGGTTAAAAAATCATATTTCAACTAAATAATATCATAACTTATTTACTATATATATTCACTAGGTAATATATGTATTTAAACATATTAATTAATATGACCCAGACTTTTTAATAAATTATTCGCTGTGATTAATATAGTAGCGATATATTTCAGAATGATTTATATGATGCTTGTGTCAGAAATTTAGGATTTGCTATATCAATTAATAAAACATTAGACAAAGAATGTTGGCTAATAAAATATTAAACAAAGAATATCGATTAATAGAACATTAGACAAAGAATATCGATTAATAGAACATTGGACAAAGAGTATCGGTTAACAAAACACAAACATTGAAATAGGGGATTCATGGAGTTTTACGTATATTTCTCTTGAAATTTTACATGAAAATACATTTATCGAAGCATCAAATATTTGGTCGAAATGATTATATGTGATTTCTCCAGGAGACGTAGGTTTGATTTTTTTTTTTACATCTCACGGACTGCATGTGAAGTGCAGTTTAACACTTCACTCCAAATGGCCATACACTCCTGTTTCTAGTAAATCCGGATATAATCTGGATTAGAAACCGATAACTAATAATGTCCGTCCATGAATCCGGATCAACAAGTATAAACCAATATAACCGGATCATGCGAATGCTTTTCGAGCAGAGTAAAAGTTGTGTTTATTGTTGATAAACCAAACCTTATTTTGTAACTCAACAAACCAAACCTTATTACGATTGACAAAACCCAAACATTATCCAATTACATTACAAATAGATCATATTAAATTATGTATTAAGCCTAGCGCTAGGACTTATTCTACTATAAGTTTATTCCTATTCAAACCAAATAGTTGGTAATAAGAGTAGTAAGGCAGTTTTCAACAAAAATGCCTCATTCAAACCGGAAATACTTGCACAATTATATGATATACTGGATACGCTTTATGCAACTTTCTTTAAAATTTTACTTGCACATTTATATTAATTTTTTATTTTTTCAAAAAAATTCTTACACATGTGCATCTTGTGTATGCCAATTTTAAACCTGATTTGGTATGGTCCAATAAACGTTAGGCATACTTTTGTTTTCCAAGTAATTTCCAGTTGAAGATTATATTGCCAATGAATGAAACATCCTATCGATGAATTTTTGTGACGTTTTTAAAAAATACTTTAATGCATGTTGACAAGGGTCAACGGATCGAAAAGAAAGGGAAGAACTGGTCAGGGTTATTCGCCACGTGCTACAACCCGGGCCCTCAAATTATGGGGCAAATGGCGGAATCGGGATCAAAGAACGAATCAATTAATAATCAATTAATTAATTAATCAACCATATAAATAAGTTACCCGGGCAATTGTTTACATCAGCCAATCAGATGAATTTCTTCCTATGAAAAGGATCGGGCTCTATTCAATAATTTTCACGGTGATCCGTATCACAAGTACTGAAATAGAATAAGGTTTATTTTATCGTTTAGGGTCAAGATTGACGTAGTACTTAGTTACAGTGCAGATTTGCAGATTCATGTTACGCTCGATCCGGTAATCTGATCGGTGCACCTGCGAAAATCTTTTTAAAGTTTGAAGAACCTGACTTTGATGAAACTTTTAGCCGCTAAACAAGTATTATAAATGTTAGTTCTATACTTGTTGTTCAAAACACTTGTTACTATATCCGAAACAAAACTAGTTTTAAAATCCCTAATCACCATTTTGTGATCCTGTCTGTATTTGGTGAAAAATCTTGTACGCATGTACTGTACGTACGTACATACATACATACGTACCCAAGTACAAACAGTAATACGATAACATTAGAATCTTTTTTTCTTTCAAAAATGTCTTCGCTTTTTTCACAACCTTATACAGTGACATACACCTCCCGGGCTATCTGTATCAATGGATTGCCTAAATTGCTTTTAGCTGGGTGTATTCATTACCCACGTAGTACCCCCGCTATGTGGCCTTCATTACTTCGTAAAGCTAAAGCAGGTGGAATAAACACTATTCAAACTTATGTCTTTTGGAATTTACATGAACCGACACGTGGAACTTATGATTTTGCTACAGACTCAGCCAATTTACCTTATTTTATTCAATTATGTAAAGAACTTGATTTATATGTAAGTTTACGAATTGGTCCTTATGTCTGTGCTGAATGGAATTTTGGTGGATTCCCTGTCTGGTTAAAACATTTACCAGATGTAAAATTACGCACTAATAATGAAGTTTATTTACAAGAAATGAAACGATTTGTAAAAAAAGTTGTTGATGTTGTGCGTCCTTACTTTCCTGATAAAGCTGGTCCAATTATTTTATTACAAATTGAAAATGAATATGGTAACATATCTTATGCTCATGGTAAAGAAGGTGTAGAATATGCTGAAGAATGTGGCCGTTTCGTAAATGATTTGAATCTTTCAGCATTATGGATTATGTGTCGTCAATATGATCATGTACCAGGTGTAATTCATACAGTAAATGATTACTATTGCCATCATTATTTTGAAAATTTACGTAAAGAACATCCTTCTTCTCCAATGATGTGGACTGAAGATTGGCCTGGTTGGCCACAAGAATTTGGTGAAGCTAAACCAACTCGTCCCGCTGAAGATTGTGCTTACGCTGTGGCATATTGGATTGCTAAAGGTGGTTGCTATCATGCATATTACATGTACCATGGAGGTACAACTTTTGGTCGTTGTGGTGGGGGTCCACGTCATACAACATCTTATGATTATGATACTATGTTGGATGAATATGGATTAGAACATTATACTAAATATTATCACACTAAAAGATTGCACGACATTCTTCTTAAATTTGAAGATGTAATAATGAAAAATCCTATTCCTACTGCAAAGATATTAGATGAAAAATTAGAAGCATTTGTTTATGGAAATATTAATTCTACGAAATCGCTCATTTTCTTATGCAATGCTGATGAAAAAAATGCTAAAAAAATAGAATTCTGTAACGTTTTATGGGATATTCCTAGATGGTCAATCAGCATCATACAAGGTGGCGATAATTCTCTAGCAATTCAACCCATCCTTTTGATGAATACAGCTATTGTTGAAAAACCAAAAGATTCTCCTGGTCGATCAGTATTTAGACCATTTCCTGCAAATATTGTTGATTTCGAATCATTTGCTTGGTTATTAGAGTCTACTCCACTTTTCACAGATGAAAATGACAAAAGAACACCACGTCCTCCACCACAAATTGTAACCACACAAGATACTACTGATTATATGTGGTACGTGACTCAATTTGAGATTAATAATGAAGAAATCGAAAAGAACCAGGCGTCTGCTAAATTTAATCTTAAGTTGTGTAATGTTGGTGATGTTGGTGTAGTTTATGTGGACGGAAAAGTGCAATCAGTACATAGAGGAGGGAATCAAGTTGATGTTCCATTAGATCTTGATTTTAAGAATAAGGTAAATGAAACCACTGGTACAGTAGATAGTAACAAGAAATACGTATTTACATTACAAATCTTGAATTGTTTGATGGGATTACCACATATTATGGCTTACATGGAAATGTATGAACAAGGACTCCTAGGAGATGTATATTTGAACGATAAAAACATTACTCACATAGGCTGGCAGGTCAATGTTGGGCTTGATGGAGAAAAAAAAAGTTATTATGATCCTTCTGCGCATTATAACCTTCCATGGAAGAGCATGCATACTGAATCATCTTTGCCCTCAACTTCAGATCAGAATATATTTCATCAACGCACTTTATTAGATATGCAAAAAAAATATCCCAATTTAATTACACAGATTCCTGTTCAAGTGGGTCTCATTTGGTACACATTCCAATTTACTTTACCTAATGAATATCATGATATTACTCGTACCCAGGACACACTTCCTCCGATTGCATTAGATCTTACATCGATGTCAAAGGGTAATGTGTGGGTTAATGGGCGACATCTTGGACGATATTGGCTAGAAATTGCCACACGTCCCACAGATCCACGTGCACGAGATGATCAAGATTATGCTGGATGGTATAATCCGCATTCAAAATGTCGAGTAGGATATGAATTGCCATCGCAACGATATTATCATATTCCTTTAGATTGGATTAAGCGAGACGGAGCTCACAAAAATTGTGTAGTATTATTTGAGGAATGGGGTGGAGATCCTCGAGGAATTCGCATAGTGCAGCGTGTAAAATGTAATACATGTGAATATAATGAAATATGTATTCATAGAATGTCTTAACTATAAAAAAAACGGAGTAATTGAAATTTTGTGATTTGTTTATAACTGTGGATCACAATGTTTGAAAACATCTTTTTAGTTATCACTTTTAAATATCTCAATTTTTATTTTTTATTTAAAAATAAATAAATTTTATAAATTGTATTGTTATAAAAAAACAATTTGACTGCACTCTTCAACATGAGTTATTCGAGTATTTTTGTTTCTCAGAGTAGTTTTTCCAAAAAAAAAAAAGTTTTTTGATTCTGTCAAACATCCCAAAACTAACCTTACCAAAGTTGATAAACTAGATAGCTGCGCGACGACATCAGAAACGGAAATTTTACAAAAAAGTAAAACCAACCATTAATTGATCTAAATACAAAAATATCATTAAAAAATTGACCCAAGAAATATTTAAAACAATAATATGGCAAATAAGACTTACATCAACGTTTGAAAGAACGCCGACCAAAAGCCGCCCAGTCGCGGTATTCATTGAGCATTAACTTAGAAAAATATCTATCAAATAATTTTAAGCGCTCATATTGGTAAATAAAATTTTAATGTGAGATATCAATGACCAACGAACAACCCACCAACTTAGCAGAAATTTGAATTTTTGTCATTTATGATTACTGGATTATCATATGATAGTTATTAACTATTATATGATAAAAATAGATAAAAATATTTTAATAAAAAATTTAGAATAAATATATGATAAACATATTACAGTATTACAAATATATTACAAACACGTGATAAAAATATATTAAGAGTAGTGGAACTTATATATAAAACAATGGTAAAAAATATTTTTCTTAAATTAAAGAAAATTATGCTTAGTAAACAAATTTTAAATTTATAAGTAAAGTTGTAGAAGCCTTTTCTGATTCTAATGAAAGTAAACTCATCAAAATTAGTTGGATATTCATTGAGATACATGTGTTTAAAGATAGAGTATTATAAATTGTTTACAAGATTATATGATAATCATATAATATTAACCAATCAAAATTAATTATTTTGTATAACCAGGAGAAATTTGAACCAACTAGAAAAGGCTTTACAATATATAAAAGTATAATTGTTTAAAAAAGCTAATTTATTAAAATTTACTATAATAAAAAAAGCATTTTGTACTATATATTATAAAATTTTTAGTAAATTAATTACAACTACAGTATAAAAAGTTTTACTTGTAGCATATTTTTATTTTTTATATAAATTTTTTTTTTTTGGTATTGAGGTCTTGTGCATATCTTTATTTAATAATTTATATAAGTAATTATATAAAAACTTAATTTGTATACTAACAAATTAATATAAATTATATGCAAAAATAAAAGCTTAGACAAAATTATCTGTGACCTAAACCTACTAGAGTAGTCAAGACTCATCTAGATTTAGATAGATAGTATATAGTTAATAGATATACTATGTTTAATTTACATAGTAGACCAAATATCCATCTTTAAAAAAAGCCTTTTCTAGGAAGGGCAGATATTAGATTTAAAATATAAGTGGTTAGCAATGTTACAAAAGCAGCTGGTGATAGATATAGTTTTGTTTTTTTTATGATTTTAAGGTGAAGAGAGATGAAGTGATGTAAAGTGAGTAGAAATCTGGTAGGCTTTTTTCTAATGTAAGAAGTTTGTACAATATGAGATCTATATGTTGTTATAAGTAAAATTAAAAATTTTAAAAAGTATTTGTATAATTAATTGTGAGGCTTGTGAGTAAAAAATATCAAAGGAGTTTAGAGATTGGATTAAGGGTTTGGGGATGAGGCCTTTAAGTGTAGAGTTGAGTAAATAAAAGTATAATATAGAATATAAGGGATTGAAGCAAGAGTAAAAGGAAATTGTGTATATTAAGTTGTTAAGTTGATATGAAGTAAGATTAAGGCTAGCATTATAGATAATCTCATAAATAGAAGTATTGTTATTTTGAATTAAAAGAGTTTTATTAGAACATGTATACTAGTGAGAAGGAGTATCTAAGCTATTACAGGAAAAGCAGTTAAGAGATATAAATATAGAGAGATATATAGAATAAAAATAAAAATTAATTGGTAAAATATTTAGAAGTAATTTAATTTTGAAAGATTTTAAATAATTTAATTTTAAATTAGTAAAGTTATATGAAATTTTTTGGTTATTGTTAAAGTATAGCCAGAAGGCTTGCTAGACAATTAAGTAAGAAAAGTGTAATCATTCTTGAGTATACTGTTATAAAGACTATAATGTAATAGTATATGTTTTGGGATTGTTTTAATTTTTATTTTTTTTTTTGGTGTTAAGGTGACCTCTATGGCCTGGGAACTTTTTTTATCATATGTTTTTATAATTATAATGAGAGTACATCAAGCTACACATGACTTTTGGTGCCTAATTTAAGTAGTCCGCCCAAAGGTTCTACACTATCTGCCATACCTGCATCCCAACTATGGGGTATCCATTTAAACTCTCTGGTTACAATTACTATTTGTTACACCTAACCCTGGGTATTACTCACCATATATATGTGGGTTTTGCTTCTACCCAATTGGATTTCGCACTCATCTTAAAACTTACTAACCTATTTTGGCTAATTTATCCACAAGGTAAACCTAAAAGAATGGTCCATGTCCTATACATGTATATATATGCATGTTCGGTAACTTCTTTCAAACTAGTACCTGCTATGCTGCTATACTGTGTTCGTATTTCATACTATTTTTTAGAATACTGCTATTTTACAGCTACTCAAGCTACAATCTTTCTAATTAGTTGCCCATTATGTACTCCTTGCCCTTATAAGGTTTGCACGAACCTGGTACCCATATTCAGACTTTCCTTCTTCCTTGAATTCTTTACTGGTCTCTCCTTTACTTCCAGCTGGCAACCCAGAAGAGTCAGTTTGCCCAGGCTTTAGATGCCTTACAGTCTCCCTTCCCTTGGTACATGCTTTCAGAGCACATTTTTTTTTCCTCTAGTTGGCAACCTAGCAGTTCAGCTGGTGTGTCCCTCTACTTAAGAACTTAATCACTTGGTTCTCTGGTCTTGGTCTCCAATTTCAATTTGGTTTTTTTGTAGCACTGTCAAAGATTGTACTACCTCTCTACTCAGGACTTGCCAAATGGGTTTTCAGTAATTCTGGTTTTCTAAATTTATTACACCAAAGCTCTCATTCAAGATGGTATGACCAAAATTACAGATATCTGGATCCAACTGATAATCTTAATATTAACTGATACAGATCTGGTATTTTCAAAATCATCATCCATAGGAATTGAACTCTAGACCTGTCATCTGAAGGTGTGACAACTCTACCACTTCACTAAGTCATCACATCCTGGATTGTTTTAATAAAGTATCTAGTAGAGCTTTTAATATAGATATTATTTCAGAGTAGAGTAGAGTATATATTATAGAGATTTGCATAATTAAATTGTAGAATAGAGGAGATAAAATGATTATTTGCAAGCAGGTTAGCAAAGTTGTTGAAGAGATCATTTAAATGGGCTTAAACTTTATAAAAAGTAAGTTGAATATTAAAGGATTTTAGTATATTGAGAAGTGTGTACCAGATAGGCTAAGTATTAAATTTAAATAAATTAGAGAAATAAGGTGAAAGGAATTGGAGTTTGTTAAATTTAGAAATGATAAATTGTAAGTCAGTAAAGATTTCAACAAAAGAATTGCAAGGAAGTGTAGATATAGCAGATATAACTGCAATTAATTTAGCTTTATAGAAGGAAGGCCAATTGAAGATTTGAGCAAAAAAGCTTTGGATGACATAACTATTATAAACTTGAACCCAGCCAATACCCATAGAGCAATAGTCAGTGCCAATTTGTTTTACAAAGCTATCTGTATAAAAAGTAAAATAATGTTAAGAGAAATTAGAAAGTACAATATAAAATAGTTTTTTGGAAGCTTCACGTTTATGAAAAATATTTAAAATAATTGAGTTGTTAATATTGATAGTTGGCAAAGATGGTATATATGAAGGATATTAATATTTGTAGAGTGAATAAGGTCGATATAATTAGCATTGAGATTAAGCAGCTTGTTAGCTTTCTTTCTTACAAGAAAGTAAGTAGAAAGAATAGTTGATACTTCTAGAGTGCAACAACTAGTTATATGATGAGAGTTAAGATTGCATTCCTAGCAAGAAGTGCAAGAAATTGGGGGTAGAGAATAGTAGTATAGGGTAGAAGTATTAATATTGTATTGCTATTATATTATAGAGATTTAATTAGATTGAGAGAAGGTTTTATAGACTTGACTAGCAATAATATTGTTGTTATAATAGGATAATACCCAAGGCTTATCAGTTTTGAAAAATAGATTAGTCTGATATACAAATAGATTGATGCTAGTAGGTTGAAGATGAAAAGTAATAGTACAATGAATATTATTATTAAGAATAGAATTTTTAAGATAAGTAAACCAGAGTAGTTTTTTCTCTTTGAAGATATGTAAAAGTCAAGAAGATAGATATGACTAGTCTAGGATAGTGTTGTTGTCTGCAGAGCAAAGTTGTTCAAGATAGAGTATTTTTTATATCAAAGTTGTTGTTTAAAAATATTGTACTTGAAGTGATTAGATAAAATATTTTCAAGAAGTGTGTTGCTATTATTTATAGTTTTAGACTATGAGGAATTAGAGTATGAATATATAGAAATTTGAAAATAGTTTATAGTTGTATAATTTTAAAGTATTTGTTTAGATTATTAATTATTAAATAAGATGTGAAAGTATATTGGTAGTGGACTAGAGGTTATACTGAAGTTGCTAGATTTGGATATGAGTAGTAGTACCAAGCATTAAGCTGTTATTGATTTAATTTAGAAAGTTGCAAATATAAAATTGTAGTTGAATATCCCAAATACTGCGAATATTATAAAAATTGTAATTAAGAAGAGTACTGTTAGGAGTAGAACAGAGAAATAGCTTTGTATTCGGCTAAATAGATTAGAGACTAGGGTTAAGAAATGAGATGTTGAAGAAGCCTTGTTTTGTAATAAAAAC